GGAAATATATTTGTATAATATTAATTGTAAAAAATCAATTTCAGAATTTTAGTATCAATTAAAAACATTTAATGTGTTTTCCCGAAAGAAACATAATATCAACTAGTGCCTTGTATCAGAGATTTGTTTTCTACCACCGACATTTACATTTATACATTTATAGATCATACTCTGAATTTTTTGACGTTCAATTTTAGTTGTTTTAAAACCCAAATTCGTTTGGTTCTTTAGAGTTTAGACGAACAACAATGTATTGTCATATTTGTGTAATATCCGTTTCACTCGATCACGGTAGATCATTGGCTTGAAAAATTATTTGCAATTGCTGTTTAACTACAGGGTTGGCTCAAGTGCTGTGCATGTCCTAATACGAAACCTATTTTTTGACATATCTATTAATGCGTGTGTATTTTGTGCGATTATTGAGTGTAATGACTTACACCACGTTGCCTCGAAGCCTATATTATTCTGACATTGAGGCTAATCTCTTTATTTGGCAACAACTAACACACTCCCCCCTTGGGCCATTATTGAACATTTTGTTCTATAAATGACTATTGTCGTCTAATAAGACACTGTGTTATACATGGAACAATTCACAAACCGGTCACCACCTATCGTTGGCTGTGGCCGCAAAGAGGTTCAAAGCTCAAAAGTAAGTAGACAAAAGTAGTATTTGTTTTTTCATAGTTTTTTCTTATGTCACTGTAACGTCAATAATAGGTATTGTCTTTTTTTATCATAACCTTTATAAAAAGTGTGGTAGGCAATTCTGTAAAAAAAAACATATTATATTGATAAATATTAGAAAAAATACATGTGAGGCCTATATATAGGACCAGAACAGCTTAACCCACAAATTCATTATTTAAATCACCAAAAACAGAAAAAAAATTATTTACATTCCAATCGTTACATTTGAAAACATTTTCAAGTAATAATTTTTTGAAAAATATTTTACATTGACAAACATTTCAAAAAAATATTTTTGAACAATAATCTAAAGATCTACTATATTCTAAAGTGCATGTCAAAATGGAGGTTACCTTTCTCTTTCTGATTAATTTTGTTATGGAAAAAATGAATGATTAGTTTACGATCAATACCAATTTAAATATAGCGTGTATGTAAACAACAACATTTTAACCGCGCGATAACGTTTACTTTTCTAACTTTTATATAACCAACAGATAACAATGAATACAAATATAGCTGTTTATAATTAGGTTTCACTGCTCTAAAGGCAATAATAAAACGGACGATGTGTTAGAGACAGTTTTCCGTGAATAAAGTTGAAGATTATTCGACTGTTGTCCGCTTATAATTTGAGACTTTACCGCTGTTGCCCATCTACCGATCAAAGTCAACTTTCTAACGCAAACGACGTGGTCCGCAAGGGCGAGCGACAAAACGTTGAACAACAAGCAATACCCAAGCACGAACAAATAACTCGGAATTTAACTTAAATTATCATTAATATATACATTTACACGGCTTTATTCGATGTACGGTATTTAGAAACAAGAAGTCGTTATCTGGACCTGGTTGGACATCAGCCCGTCGTTATCGGCTCAGTGAAATCGGAGTGTCAATAATGGTTATGGATGTTAATAAAACGCCTGTATTGTACTTAAAATGCGAACCGAAAAACCGACATAAATTGTATTATTGCGAGCCCCGATAAAGGCACTGACGTTTGTATAGGAGGTCCTGGCGGGGCTATCGCCGTCTGATAACTTCACTGCGCGCCGTTTGAATTTTATTTTTTCCTCGGGGGTCGATTACACGGTTGTATACGATAAAAATGGTTTTTCAAAAATCGTCAAATCGTCGATAAAAAGCTATTAAACCGCAAAAATCGGTTTTTAATCAGCTGTTTTATGAGTATTTACTATATTTTGAACACGCTGATCAGAAATGTATACATTATTAGTATAGGCGATCCAAGAGGAAAATTTTCTCAGCAGATATAATTGAAATTTTATTTATTTACCCAAGATAATATTATTATTGTAATGTATACATATAGATAACCGTGGGCATACAGGGTAATATCGACCCAACCCGATTTTAGTCCGGTCCGAAGTCGGGTCCGATTTAATCACACTCGAGTGGGCCTTTGACGATTTGATACACCGGATGGGATTTAAATCAAGACCTATAGCTAGTAGATAATGTACAGCTTGGTTATAATAGTACTTGAACGTATTGTTTAGTCGAAATTACAACAGCTTTTTTTTTAATTTTCAAATGTTTATTCATCGTGATTACTTAATACTTTTGTACTATTTTGTTAAAAACAAAAAAACAAATCTTATAAACCTCGCGAGTCCCCAGAATCCACTTCCGTTCCATTGTTACTCCCATAGAGTTTTAAGTGATTTTTTTTTATAGTGATAACTGATAACGTTTCATCCACATAATTGTTATAAATGGCGCATGCGCAAAATGACTGATCTGCGTTGCCTCGAATACGCTTCAAAGGTAGTAGTGTAGTCTACACGCATGTGTCATTATTTATTATACTAAATTAGTCGTATCCATTGTAAGTAATGTACTGTTTTAAAGAAATGCAGAATAGTCGTCATCATCTAGCATTAGTAAATAGTTATTCAGTAGTTTATATAGCTCGGTTTGTTTGGAATTTGCTTTGTAAACCGACCACAGATGCGTCGCATCTGTTATTGTTATCATACAATTAACAACAATGTTATACGTATATGTATCTAACGGTGGCAGACGGAAAAATTGGCGTGCAAACATCAAATATTGATTTTAGAACTGTCGACACGCGATTGTAGTATCTTATCGTTTACAAAACAAACCATTCACACTCTTAATCGTTTTCTCTCGACACACAATGTACGCGTTTCACGTGTCACTGAAATGTGCGAAAATTGTCTTTTTGGAAAATCCGTGAGTAGAGTATAGAATGCCGGTTCTGTCTACAATGGAATGTGCCTACGTCATCAAAATTTGATGCATTTGATGACGTCATCACATTCCATTCTAGACAGAATCGGCCTGCACTTTTGACCCAGGTCAGTGACCCCCCTCCCCTCTACCCCCCCCCCCCCCCCCCACCATGTAATTTTAAAATTTGATGCATTTAATGACGTCATCACATTCCATTCGGCACAGACCGTCCTGCATTGGTAACCTAGGTCAGTGACACCCCCCTCCACTCCGTCCCCAGCAACAAAGTTATTGCATGCACTTTTGACCTAGGTCAGTAGAATACCCCTCCTCTCCGATCATTATGGCCATGTTATCGTATACAGTTTGAACCTAGGGCAGTGTCTTACTCCCTCCCTTCGGCACCCCGTCCATGTGTGCATATTTGACCTAGGTCAGTGCCGTACCACACCATAACAACATGTTTGCACAGTTCACCTATACCGTACCCCCACCTCGACGGGTACGGTGTGACGGCGCCCTGTCCTCGCCCGGTGTCTGGAACATCCACGGGCTTATCAATTTAATGTATGGTTAATTGTAAGTATGGGGTATGTGTGACGTCACCACGGTTAAAAAAATTATTATACGTGTCGGTCATCTTTGATATAGTTGATATTTGTTGTCGACATAAACATCAGTTTAGTGTGAGTTCTGAATCAAGATGGACCTGGTTCGGAAAATCGATAAACAACTGGAGAGATTATTTTTAATACGTACAGATCGTGTTATGTTCAAAAGAGTGTCTAAAATGTCTAAAAAATACGCTATTTTGAAAAACTTGGCTCAGCAATATGGATCAATATCAAATAAAGATGAACAATACCCAAAATGTATTTGTAATTCCTCAGGATGGGATCAAATCGATGGTCCGTGCGCATGCTCAATCGTTAAAAGTATTTACAGTGAACTTCAAGAGGAATTAAGTAAAATTACAAGTGGGGACATTTATGATGATGATAAACGTGTACAAAATGTAGACCATTAGTCTACGACACTTGTGCAAGATGGCAAGTCACCAGAAGCAGCAACATCATCCGTCTGATTATTTAATCGATACTTCTGTGTTTTATATCGATTCTCTGACACACGTTCACATTGGATTGGATTCAAGAGATTTGTTTTGGCCTAAAATTGTGTTTGTCAACGGAATCGATCGGATACCAATAAATATTCAGTTTTTACAACGTCTATACTCAATATATCCTTACTTTTCCTCACTTTACCATGATTTGGACGGTGTTGTTATACTGCAAGATGAATACACAACGATTCGTGTACTGCAAGCGTACACTAAGAAAATATACCTAGTGATTGAGTCACTACAAACACACTTGGAAGACTCATCAACAACAATTTGTACAACAAGAAAAAAAGAAATTTGGGTATCATTTGAAGCGGCAAAGCAACTGTATAAATTAAAGAATGCAATATTCGATAATGTGTATAGAAAACTTATACTTACTCGACCACGTATTGTACGTGAAATCAAAATGTTGTTAAAACATATTGTCAACAACAATGACGATGATGATGATGTCACTGTTAAAAGTGTACAAAAAGACAAGCTGACATTGCCCAAGAACAAAGTATGTGATACACAATATATGATATATTTTCATGAGATTGTCAACACAGATTATATGTCAAAATGTTTGAACTTTGCATCAAGAGTCATTTTTGTGAAAAACAATGCTAAAATAAAGGTAAATTTCATCTCACAATCGTTAAAAAATTATTACTTTTTGTAAAAATATGTATATATTATCTACAGGGTAAATATTTCAACATATTTAACGATTTGGATTTGCTCAGAGTGTTTCCTGGCATTGAATTTGACTTACCGCAACAACAACAACAACAACAACCGGACGGTACAGAATCAGTAGATGCTATGAAGTTACAGTGGTGTGAAAATGGAGTCAAAGGAGGCAGATGGGAAATTAAATAATAACAAAGATTGTACTTATTTTCTTAAACAATAAATTTATTTATTTAAAAAAAATCTTTATTATTTAAACATAAAAAAAATATGTAATGTAAAATTACAATTTACGAACTTCTCCGCTAAATGCATTGTATTCCATCTGACAGTCGTGAATAATCACGCAGTATAATGAAGTGTTTTGTGGAAAAGCTTTGGCACATTCAAAGTCCAAACGCAAGTCAACCGTAGATGACTTAACAGTGTCATTCTGTTTCGAACAGTCAATAACTATGATTGGTCCGAGTTTCTTGTAGTGGACACGGTCGAGTAAAGGTTGAGGATTGGTACGTCCATAGTACATTGTTTGAAAACGTGCATATGAATTGTACATTGAGGTGTATTTGCCAGCTTCGAAATCGGCATTGTAGTTCTCGTACGGGTACTCGTCTGAGTTCAAGTATGCCTTGACGTTGCGCAGTGTACAGTGATGAAAGTCTGATTTTGACATTATGGAACGTTCTTTGCCCATTGCAATGAGTAGATAACGGGGTTTCTCAACGTTTGAAAATGTCCGTACCGACCATGTGTGATGAGTTGTTTGAGGCACCAAAGGGTATACAGCAATGTCCCATTGTTGATAGTCCAAAGGCAACCATCGCTTTCCATCCAGTATGCGCATTAGACTCAATTCGGTTTTAACATTAGGATCAAAATATTTGACAATCCATTTGATTTTAGTTATTTTTACGGCGGTCTGTTTGAGCAGTGCAACGTTTGCTTCAGCTAACCCTTCAGCCTTCTTGCTTTCTTCCGGTGTTACACACTCGATGGCTCCAATGTCCCGGCTCGATCGGATGAGCACAAGTGATTGTGTACAGTTGATTAGTACACGCCGAAACCGTTCGAAAAAACCCATGCATGCAGACAATGGATATTGAGCTACAAACTCGGTTTTATCCATCAGGTCCCGACTAGTTTGGTTGTCTTTCACATGTTTCCATCCGGCAGGTTGCAAACGAGCTATATCACTGGGTGTAAACGAACAGTACCCTTTGATTGTAGTCACTACTCCGACGTTTTTAACCTTGTCAATTTCCTTGCCGTTAATCTCATAGCGGATCTCGTCAAACAAATGCATGAGTCCGTTCTGTGTAAGAATCATTTCACCCGAGGCTCCTTCCGGTTTTTCCAGAGATCCTTCAATTTGCAGATAACTCTCACAGGGCACTGTAAACTTCTCCTTGTTGCGCACTTCAATGCGAATCTCATCGTTGTTTTCGTACGAGTTGTTAAAACTCTGATGTTCAAGATAGTATTCACGTTTAATACTATCGTCGTGTTGATGTTTTTCCAATACGTTCAAATATTCAGACATGTTTTGACAATGTGTTGATGACACGACAACCCAAACGTTTCAAAAATATAATACTTTTTTGAGAGAGCGGTAAGCGGTGTCGTCGGTGACGATTATTCTGTTTAGGTAAACGACGATTGTTCCGTTTGGATGTCAACGATCGATTGACTGTCTTTTTGTTCACCGGTTTCATCATTCGATTTTGATGATGCTTCCGATTGAATATCAATGGCATGTTTGATTTTTTTTGTTTTCACAGTTTGTTCCAAAATGTTGATTCGCTTTTCCAATATAAACACTTGATCGTCAAGGCCGTAAAGTTCTCTAGCAAGAGCTTCGGTACGTTCCACAACGGATGATTGTGTTATTGTACTGTTGGGTGTACAATTAACGGCAGAGCAACAATTCACAATTTGATTGCTGCTGAGTGATACAGGTTCGAATATGGTTATAGACAGCTGTAGCAAAATTTGTAAAATTGTAAATGAAATACACAACCATAGACCAGATCGCGTGGTAGTCAATTGTCTTATACGATCCCACAAGAGGGATAGTGTTGATGTAGACGATGCTGATGTTTCATCATACATTTCAACGATGTTTGATATGCAAACGTATGGTTAATTGCTCGTTCTGTAGATTGATCTTGTGTCCGTCTTGATCACGCAACAGTATGTTCAATGTGCTCAACTGTGATGTGTTTAGAGGATAGTATACAACGTGTTTGGGACACTCTATGATACGGTAACCCGGAGCAACGCTGGGAAAGAATTCGTGCAACGTGTGTGACTGACGACCGCTATGAAATGATCCTTCAATTACATTGCAATCAACTCTTATACACGTCACCCTGATTATCTTCATCGGTGAATCGGATATATGTGTCTTGTTGGCTTCGAGCACCCTCCGTCGGAATCCAAGTAGTTCACCAATCGAGTCCCGAGGAGTGAAATCCACTGGATAATCACTGGTTATTTCACAACGCATAGTGTTGTGATTGCCAATAATTTTAATCGAGTTCATTTCCTTTGGCCAATCGGATGTGATAATTTTTTTGATGTCTTCAAATTCATACGATCCCGTGGGTATTGTAACCTCATGAATAGCGATCGGTTGAGATGCACTATCGGTGTCCAGTGTACCGCCCACGATAAACTTGTTGTTTCGCTCATCAACATTCGGGATAGTGTTCCACGTGTGCAAACTCAACAATCCAATTTCACAGTGTTCACCCACTTCCAGTGGTGGGTTAAATATACATTGTAATTCGGATCCCTCACCGCTTAACGTCACTGTTGTGACCATTGTCGAGTGTGTTCAGTAGGAATTTCAAACACCAATGTCCACAATTGAACGTGTTGAACTTTTGATAACGACTGTAGTTGTAGTCAATCATGCAGTCTTTAAAATAGTTTTGTACCTCAAGCGGTGGTGTCAAGTTTCCAAAACTATCGAAATAACTAACATGATGTCCTTGCTTTCTGTAAGCTACCCAGTGTGAACCGAGATTGCGTTCCAAATCTAAATTAATAATGCCCGCTTCTGTGGTGTACGGTGCAATCGGAAGCGTATCCCTACAATACACTCCTCGAAATCCCGGTATATTGCACTTTGTTGCAAAATCTGATAATTCATAATCAAACAGTGCACGATTGGGTAGCTTCGCAATTAGTTTTTTGCACTTTTGTTTGAACGTCGTTTGACTTGACGTTTATTGTGGTTTTTCTTGTTTTTTTTTTTTTTACCAATACCTTTGCCAGCAGCAGCAGCAGCAGCAGCAGCAGTAGATGCTTTGTTGTTCACCAATTTGTAACTCGAACCCGATTTGTACGGTCGCAAATAGAATCCTCTGCCAATTTTGAATGGTTGACCACCAGCACCACCGCGACGGTTATTAATTTCACTGGCAACTTTTACCACATTTGCAGCTCCTCCGGCCAAAGCACCCAATGCCGAGAGACCGGCGAAAATCGGAATTAATGGTATTACACCACCGATTTTTGGAATTGCAATTGTCCGGGGCAAACGTACAGACATCTTTTTCTTCTTTGAACCCGTCTTCTTGTTGTTTACCTTTTTCAAAATCACACGTTTGGCTGCCAAAATCGATCGCTTCGCCGTGATCAATTCATCCGGATGGATGTCGACACGCTTTGCTGCGCCCACAACTGTACGGAATCCCATACCAAGTTTTCGTTTAACTTTCATAGCGTTTGTCACGGCCCAAGCTACGGCACGTTCCTTCATGTTTGAATCTTTCGCTTTAACTCTATCCCACGCTTGATGTTCCAAAACTTGATCGGCACGATGTCGGTCGGCGAGTGTTTTGCTCTGAGAGTATGCAATGTCGTGATCACGGCAAGCCGAATCCAAAGGATTGATTCCACGATCACCTCGAGCCAATCGCTTAGTTAATTTCGTACCGGGCCCTGCAAACTGATATCCAGGCACGTGCACTTCAAACGGAAGGTTGTCAATTACTGAATTTAATATGCCCGAGCCACTGCGGCGGTGGCGATGGCGTCTCTTCACTTTAATAGCAACCATCTTTAAAGTCCTCCAATACCAATGTCGTCACTGACGACAACAGTATTTATACTCTACTGACGTGTGTTGCTGTTGCGATTGCAGCGATGCGATTCAAAAAACAATCAGTTACACTACCTGTGGTCAACTATGACGATGACGATGCAAGTACTACATCTGCTGCGACAGTGTTAAAACACGGAAAACTTTTGCCAAGCACAATCAGGGCTTTGATTTGTGGACCATCAAACTGTGGTAAAACCAATTTAATGTTTGTACTGTTGACCGATTTGAATGGCGTGAAATTTGAAAACGTTTACATTTATTCGAAATCACTACATCAGTCCAAATACAAACTGCTTGTGGACGTGTTGAACGGAGTCAAGGGCGTGCGAGTGTTTACATATCAAGACGCCGAAGCAGTGCCTCCGGTGGACAAGGTTCTCCCAAATAGTGTGTTCATATTTGATGATGTGCTGACTCAGAAACAAAACGTGATTTGTGATTACTTTGCACGAGGTCGACACAAGCGTGTCGATGTGTTTTTCCTCGCTCAAACTCTGTCAAAAATCCAAAAACAAGTTCTCCGGGACAATGCAAACCTTATCGTTTTGTTTCGTCAAGACGATGTAAATTTACGTCACGCATACGACGAGTACGTCAGCTGTGACATGAAATACAATCAGTTTAAAGAGTTTTGTCAACAGTGTTGGCACCGCGATCGCTATGGATTCGCAGTGATATGTTTAGACTCTAAGCGTGACAACGGTCGGTACAGATACAAATTCGACACATACGTTACTATTTAGTTGAGTTTCAGTCAGTTTACACACACGCACACACAAAAACACATATGTTGACACTCAAACTATGGAAAATAAAGACAATGGTAGTGGTGGTGGTGGTGGTGGTGGCGAAGAGAGCAAACAACAAAAGCAATCGATTCTCGTTCGGTTGGCCGAGGCCCGGGAAAACGTTAAACTTAAATATCTTGCACTGCGCCGCGGTGAAGCTGAATCGCAAGCACGAGTCCAGAGGAAATTCGCTCCGATTATCGAACCACTTGATAAACTCTCATCTATACAGCAGCATCAGCAGCAGCAACCGCAATTGACCGATGGTAATCATGTAGTTCAATCCAGTGGAGGTGAACAATGGAGTGATTACATTGCACAATGGCTGACGCATTCAAACAGAGACAGACAATACGGACCGACACTGACAAATAACACTATTGTGATGGGCAGTGTCAAAGATGTGAAAATCACCGATACATCCATCATTTTAAACGAAACGGAATATCCATTGACCATGGGTCTGGTGCAATTGTTGTTTTCCAAAAACCCCGGTGTGTACAACCAAAGTGATTTGAACGTGTACAAACAAATTTTAACAGAAACCGGTGCTCATTTGAAAAGGAACAAAACATTAAAAAAGGGTGGATACAAGTTTAAACAAATTATTGATCCAATGTTTCATGTTGGTACCGGTCTGGAGTTGAGACTTAATCCAAACGCTGCTGCACACAAAGAGTACTTGTTTTGGGATAATCCTAATGAACTTGTAGATCGGTTAAGACTACTCATGGCTGCCCGATCGGCTGGCAACACTGGAGTGTCACCCGAGATTGTATCTATACTTGAAGAACTCAACGAAGCCGGGTACATTGATGGAATACCGCAGTCACTGATGACCATAGCATAAAGATGGTAGCCGAGATGAAGACAAAGATTGCATACGAGTTGCATCGACAAGCCCGCAAGGTGTACACACGTCAGCGAATCAACATCAAAGGACTCGACGACTTGTGGCATGCTGACCTCGTGGAAATGGGTACACACCCGGACCGCCGGTATCGGTACATTCTCACTTGTATCGATGGTTTTTCAAAGTATGCGTGGGCTATACCACTACTGGACAAGACTGCGGTAAAAGTTACCGCGGCAATGCGTAGCATACTGACACAGGGCCGAAAGCCGAGCTTTTTACAGACGGATGCTGGAAAAGAATTCTATAATGGAACTTTTCAAGAACTTATGCGCCAGTATGACATAAAACACTACTCGACATACTCAACTATGAAGGCTTGTCTGGTCGAACGCTTCAATCGCACTTTGAAAGGGTTAATGTGGCGTAGTTTCACCGCTCGAGGGTCGTACAAATGGGTTGCAAGTCTGCCCGCCCTAGTTTACGAATATAACAACAATCACCGGCACCGTACCATTGGTATGACTCCGGTGCAGGCTGTGGAAAATCCCGGTAGTGTTCAGTTAAAGTTGCGCAAAATATCCGACAACATTGCTGTACGATTTAAAGTTGGTGACAACGTACGAATATCCAAGGTTAAATCCGTGTTTGACAAGGGTTACTTGCCGAGCTGGAGTAGTGAGCTGTTTACTGTGGTTAAGGTATCTCGTACAGTACCACCAACATATCATCTTGAGGACTACCAAGGTAATCCGATTTCGGGAAAATTCTACACTGAAGAGCTACAGCGAACACAGTATCCTGACAGTTACTTAGTTGAGCGAGTGTTGCTCACACGAGGTGACCAGTGTTATGTAAAATGGCTGGGATTCGGTGCCGAACACAACTCGTGGATACTGAAAACAGATATTTATCCGCACTGATTGTCGACATACAAGGAGTTGTATCCGCTGCGTCCAATGATCATTCATTTTTGATCAAGGAAATGTCTGTAGTGGCCATGGATTCTACTTCTGTATATCACTGGATGTTCAAACATCCTGTCAACACAGTCGGTGACTCAAAGACCAACTATTGGTTAAAACTGTATCACCATGGAATGGATACATTGTGTGGAGACGTAGAGTATACAGAACTACCGAGAATAATCAATTTGATGCGCAGTGAAGTCGTCTACGTGAAGGGTGTGCAGAAAAAGGAAGTCATTGAACGATACTTACCCGGACAACGTGTCGTTGAAATGGAAGATTTGGGATGTCCACCGCTGAAAAATCTACACCTTGCCTCTGAACCTTGTTGTATTCGACACATGAATAACTATAGAGCATGTAGTCTATACAAAGTGTTTTGTTTGAAAAAATGGTTAACAGATTTTTCTTGATTGATTTTTTTTATTATATAAATCATTATTATCATATTTAATTATTTATAATACAACTGTAAGCTTAATATTAGTGTTGTATAAACAAAATATTGTACAGAACATACTATTCGTAAAATATATAATCACGTAAAAATTACTTAATAATATTATACAATTTTTTTTGCAATATATTTTATTTGATTTCTTCTTCAAAATATTTGATTTTATTTAATCAAGAGAAATATTATACAATTATTACAAAATAGATTATTAATTATTTTCTTTGAGTGAATAATGACCCCATGCCTTGGTGTAAATATCGGGGTATTCATCGGAACCACCGACCAGGGCCCTCTTATCGTACGAGTTGCTCAACGACAGTTTCTGTGTATCCATGGTTATGACTTCATGAAGTTTTGATCGTATGACTGAAACTTTATGTGATTGAGTCAATTTGGTCTTTAGACAATGAAGATAATCGCTCATGTTTATTTTAGTTGCGACCACACCCGATGTCACTCCTTTGAGTTTTTTAATTTCTTTAAGTCTCTTGATTGGGCAGACGATGTTTGATAATTGTTGCTGCTGTTGTTGTTCGTATTGCTTGGACAGTATGTATGCATATACCTTTGGCATGAGTGCAACAATTTCTTGCATATGTAAACCGCCAGCTTCGTCGGTGAATGTTCCAGGCACCTTTTTACGTACGTCAGTGTAACACGGATGGTCTTTAGGATAGTTTGATGTGTCAAAATATTTTAACAAATGTTCTTCAAGATCTCGGTGAAAGTTCAAAGTTTGTATTGCATATATAAAGCTATCTGTATCCATATAAATTAATGAAAGCCTATCGCCGTACATGGGCAGCATGACATCGTAGTGAAACCGGTACATGATACACTTGCTGATGTCAAGTACTGACTGTCCGATATATATGGGTTTGAAAAAATTTATCTTTTCTTTGTACATGTGTACGGCAACCAACTTATCATTGAAAATAGTCGTGTCTTTAAATGATGGTTTGGCAACGAGCTTTGATAATTTCTCACTGCAACTAACCAAATGAATGACTTGATGGTTGCGAACATTTTCCAAAGTTTTTCCTATTAAACAGTAAAGAATGAAGATTAAATATATATACATTTTTTTTAATATTATTAAATAATTATATCATACCATAACAAGAATTGTTCATAGTCTTTGGTAAAGTTTGACCAAAGACAGTAGTAGCCTTTTTCCGTAGCTCTGTGTTGAGCTCAATGTATGGAGCAAGCCAGCGAGACTGTTTAAACCTTATTACTCTGTACGTGTTTGTCACTACCAGACCGTGTTCAACAGCCTGTTTGAGCGCCCGGTAGTGAACAATGTACTTACTCTTGGTTGAGAGTGTGGTCAACAGCTTGCTGTACTTGCTCGTTTTCAGTGGCGGGCACTCGTTGACCGGTAGAAACGGTAGGTCGTTGTGCAGATCATGCAAGTGCTGCGGGTAATCGACATCAACCTCCAAGAGATAACCATAGTCGCTGTCGTCTTTCGTGCCCAAGATCACGTCCAACGGTACATCTGTCCACTCAAACTCTCCGCACGGCATAGGTTGCATCATTGCTAAATCATGTTAAATCAGTCATGTGTTATTTACACGTATGTTTGTTGTACTCACCAAATCCGTATAGATTCGTAGCATCTATGTACTGAAGGAAAGTTTGAGCTTTTGACGGGTCATATCCATGAACTTCGGGATGGTTCGCCCGGGCATGTCTTTGCACTACTGAAGTTAGGCCACCACGGATAGCAAGTTGAAACATTAAAAGCATATCGTGGTCTGTTAAAAGCTCTAGTTTCACACCGGTATACCTCAGCATTGCATCAAATGATAATCCTATGTGAAAGTTTTAAGCCAAATTGTTTTTCATGTAAAAAAAATTAATGTATAATCTAACCTGGACACGAGTAATAGTGTGCGGGGTCCAACTTGTAATTTTTCAAACACTCCACCCGAAACTTTTCAAACACATCCACTAAAACCTGAACAAAACACTCGTAAGTAAAAGAAAATATTGTGTTAAAAACAAAACAACATTTTTTTTTACCATTACGTCGACCAGCAAATAATTGTCACTATAGTCACCAATGGTCTTACATTCGAACGTGTCCCACATTGTTTTTGCATGTCCATAATCAGCCTCTGATATTGTACTGTTTGATAAACTGCTATAGAACGCACTAATGTCGGGCAGTTTTGTTTCGTCGAGCTTTTCCACACAGTCGATGTACTCGTATGGAAAAACTGATTTTCTCGTGGCCAAATCGGTGTTCTGTTTGAAAACTTTTTCCGTTTCGATAAAATCATCTCGGGTGAGTGTTTGTGCCAATTTCGCCAGACTATCCTGTAGAAAACGATACGAATCCAAGAACCGGAGTTGAAAACGATCGCCAATGGTCTTGCTGAACGAGATGTACTTTTCTTCAGACTGTGGTATTATAGTAATGTCCTCGGTGTCGTACGTCAGCTCTTGAATGATAAAATGTGAGTCATAGTTGGATAGCCCGTGAAACGCCACGGGTAAAAAAGTAGGGTACCGTCTTTGCAAATTACATCTGTTGCATAAAACAGCCCTAAACTTTCCCGTCCAGTGGTTATGATCATGTACTTTTGTACATTTATCATCAAACGACACCGAGCAAGATCCACACCGTGTTGTTTTATCGAACTTTTCCTGTTCAGTCACAGTCAAACGGTACATTTCAATATTAATCTTCATGATATCCAGAACTTGTCGACCTAAAGTCACCAGAGTGTAGACGAGATGTTTTGCCGCGTCAGGTCCACGGTATAGTACAGGTTCTTTTGGCAATGCTTTACATATGTTATCGGGTAACACTTTTGGATCTGGGCGAACGTAAAAACAATAACTCATGGGCACGTGTTCGTGTTGTATACTCGAGCTGGTTGTGATTTGCCTGTTTACCGGCTTCAATATACACTCCATATCGGCATATATAATCAGAGGAACCGGTTCTTCACGGCGAACATTATTGAATTGCAGTATAGATTTTTCAGATCCTGGTTCCGGGAGTACAGCTCGGGCCTCTTTAAACTTTTCACAAATCTCCAAATGTTCGTTCAAACCACTCAAACCCCATTTTCGTGTCAACAGTTGTACATCCCTAAATGTTTTCAAGCATCTTTTACAATGATATTCTTTATGTTCATGTTTTGTACGTTGATTGCTTACGAGTCGAGAAAAATTGGAAATGTAACAATAATGATTGTTACCATCGCTCGATGTCAACATCAACAAATCAATGTGATCAATCACATCACTGCGTTTTTTCGTAATTCTCAACGGATATACATTTTTTCTGTCATCCAACGCGAAGACGTTTACTGATATTGACGGGTTAATTCGTTCGAATTTGTTGATTTGTTGAATTGGAGTGGGGAAATCAATACCGTTAAAGTTTATTTTCATCTGTTGTTCTAAGAGTTTATAGCGTTCATTTATCAAAACTTTATTATGACTAGTATTATATTTACACAATACTGACCATTTGAAACACATGTTATCTTCGTTTTTAATATTTATTACTGCATTTCTGTTTTTTATACAATTCGGAAGTTCAATAAATGAAGATCCTGTCAATGGTTTGTACTTGTGAGTTCGAACTAACAAACCATCAATAAAAAGTAATGTCCAACCCGACGATTTCACATCTAAATTTTCTCTCTCCAACTCGAGTATCATAATAAGTTTGCTCATCAACTCAACGTAATTAGTTCCAGAATCAATACGTTTATTCCGTGTTTTGAAAGCTACGTCTTTAACTTCCCCCGTTACTGGATGGAAATACGTAGCATGTAAAACAACGTTGAATTTTACCAGTCCTGCAGATGTTGAATTTTCAAGTAACGTAATTAAATCATCACAAACATCAATCATATACTCTACAACTTGAGTTATGTCTGTGTTGTTTTTTGAGAAAAACGTATGAACATTATTGTTCAAAGCTGATTGTAGTGTAACAAAACCGGAACCAACTGAATTCATACAATGATGTTTTTTTAGTTTCTTTCCATTTCCAGTATCAATTTTTAGACGTTTTGCTTCTGACATAGCAATGAAATTTTTGTTTTTAACGATTACCGATTGTCTATGATTATGTATTAAACAATGATTAACCAGGTCACTTTTATTTGTGAAAATATCACCACATCCACATACATGTTGTTCAATATCCATTTTGTATTCTAAATTATAAACACAAAAAAAATACCAAAAAAAAATCAGTTGCTAATTCAACATTCCAAAATATTATTTTGTTGTATGAAAATTTAACCCGTACACATCAATTTATTATGACCAATATAATATTATTATTACTACACCACTTTAGTATACTATTATATTTCAATGTTTTGTTTTATTTAGTTACTTGTATATAAATCATTATTACTAAATAAAATTATAGTATAAATAAATTTCAATTATATAGTTAGTTATTGGTTTTTATTTTCATGTAAGTTTATAGTATATATGTATATAAATACACATGATATAAAATATTTTTATATATGATTACAATTCATATATTATGTTACGTAAAATAATTATTATTGGACAAAATTAAAGACATATAGTATGTTTAACAATACATCAATTCAAAATTAAACTTAATAGCATTTCCATTGAAAAATATTAATTATTATAAAAAAAAAAAAAAATGGAATACACATTTTGATATTAGATATATTGATTTATTCAAAATCAAACTTATAAGCATTTCCGTTCATGCCATGAAAAGTAAAATGTAATTTAGGTTCAGAATTATTATATAAAATAATTTCTTCAGCTGTCATTTCAATGGACTTGGGTAAAAATAAGTTCAGTTTTGAATTGTCGGCAATTTCGAGTGTTGCGACAACACAAATTCTGTACTTTGTTTCAACATTTTTAACATATAAAACTCTATAGGGATGATCAATTTGTAGTTCCATCATCTTAATATACTCTGTGGCTTTGGATTGTATTTTCAGTTTTGACTTTAAAGATTCCATTCTGATAGTTATTTCGTAAAGATTTTCTCTGAAAGTATATTAATGTGTAAATATTTAAAAACTTAATTTAAATTAATATATATCATGTTATTGATAGTTTATTATTATTATTATTATACAAAGATTATCTCTCAACATTCGATTAACAAATGTTTAAATATTACACTCATCGATTTATTATATAATATTTATAAGAAATAATTACATTTTAATTTATTTTAATATTCCCTTAAAAAGTAATTAAATACTATTCATACTACATTTATATTATTGTGTAGCATACTTATTTAACAAAAGGGATAATAACAAAAATATTATATATTTTATTTAAAATAGTCTACACCGGTCCGTCGAGGGTTCGCGCCGTCGTCCGCCGCGCTTGGCCGGCGGGGCTAACATATTAAAACAATGAATCGTTTGTTTCCATTTTTTTAAGATTAAGCAAAATTGATCTCCTATTGATTCTTGTGCAAACGATATGGTGGGGTAATATATTAGCCTGATTCAGTAATCATTAGATATCTTAATCTGTTTGCGACAACACCATCATGCCTGAACAAGATTTAGTGAGGTATCTTGAAAGAAGTAAGTTTAAATTATATAATTTTTTATAAATATTTTTTTAATTATGATTTTTTCAATAAAATTAGGATACGAATACTTCCCAGAGGGACATGAAATTATTCTTCATCGTGTTCCGGTTGTGGTTGTTTTTCGGTTAGTATTATTTATAATAACCTTTTTTTTTTTTTTTTTTAATAATAAATTAATAAGTAATTGCTTTAAATAGAGCTGTTAACAGTACAGAGAATGTAGAACAGCAACTTCCGAGTCGTCCGCCGTCACCCGCCCAATCCTCCGAAGAATAAAGTACATACAATAATATACATAAAAATTTTTTCATTAACATTTTTTTAAATTTGTATTGCTCTTTTTATAAAAATATTTTTTAAAAAAACTAATGATTAGTTTAAGTATAAAATATTAATTTTTTAAAACTAATTTACGTGTGTTATTTATTTATATCGTAGATAATCATAAATATTCAATAATTATATTACATTGGTTTTATAATGAACAAAACATGAATATTGAATTCTCAAGTGAAAACCCACATACACACATGTAAAAACCATATTTTTATATACCATCAAGTCTTTTTATTATAGAATAACTTACCTTAACAATTTATTTACGTTATGTTAAATAATTGTTGATACAGAAACTGTTCTATTATATTGAAAAAATTATTAATCAGAGATTATCTTTAGCTAATATAATAGTACATTTCTGGTTTCAAATTTTATTGGTAAAGATGATTTGATAAAAGTCAAACTATAGTATATAAGTCTAACGGTTTTTCAATAGTTTATTTTGAGTATTAAAAATAAAAAATAAAAACCTGTAAATCACTTTTTAAAAAATTATACGTTTTATTTTATAAAATTCTCGTTTTGATTCGAAATGAATGTGTTATTAATTTTTAATTACAGCTAAATCAAAAATGTATATTTCTTTTAAAGTGACTTACATGTTTTTATTCTTTCTTTTTCTTTCCTGTAGAGTTCAAGAATAATATTGTTTAAAAACATGATTCACATGTTTATTTCACGTATCGGTCCTGATTTTCTTGATAAAACTGCTTTGATAGAAGTCATACTGTAGTTTAGAAGTCTACACGTTTTTAGATAGATGAACTTGAATATTCAAATATAATACTTTAAAAATAGAATATAAAAAAAACAAACATGTCAATCACTTTTTTTACAATTTTCGTTTTGATTCGAAACGAATATCTCATACATTTTTAGTTATGAATAAAATAATAACTTATCATCCTTTTAATAATTTTAAAATACTTTTTTATATATCTATATCATTTAAATATGTATTATGATATTCTAAATTTAGAAACAATTATATACTATCAATTTTTAACAGATTCTGATTTTTGAAAACTAACTTACCTTAAAAAATTTGTAATTACTCTTATATAACAACATTGCACATTGAAAGTAAAAACCATGCAATTCACATTTTAAAAATGGTATATTTTATTTTTTTATAAAATTAACGATTCGAAATGCATTTATCAATAATTTTTAAGCATTATTAATAAATATTAAGTAAATTTTTTTTTCATACCAATTTAAATTAATTAAAAATATGTTTTGCATGGTTTTTTTCTCCTGTACCGCTCAATTTAATTGATATTTAACATAATTCAGTATCCTAAATTTTGAAATACATTAGGAAAAATAAATAATAGTACACATTTAACTCATATTAATTTACATATCATACATTTTTTTTTTTTAATTCAATATATATATATATTTTACAAAAAAAACTTAACTGTTATTACTAGTACTAATCTTAAACCTTATTACTGTCATTAATATATAGTTTTTTTTTCACCCAACAAACCATTTAAACAATTGTTTTGAGCATACCGAACAATGGGAATGTGAATTAACATTAGATAATAAAAAAAACATTAAATATTGATTAATTTTAATCGTTTCTAATTTAATTTCACAAATTTCCATTTGTTCGGTGTTTGTCATACTTAATCGATTCATACACTGTTGGGAACATACAGTTATATCACAAAAATCCGGAAAACTTAAACCGATGAACGTGAAAATTAATTTATTACTAACCCCAAATAAATTAACCATACTTCTATTTTCTAAATCTATATCATAAGAACTATAATCCTGCCTTATAGTATTCAAGACAACCTCATCTTCTGAGTACAATTGAGACCTATCTATTCCCTGATCGAATATCGAATTCTCCTTATAAGTCTCTAGTATATCGGCTACATGGTGGAATAAATATACATTAAAAGATCTTAAAAATATTATGGTTTGTTCGGTATCATGGCTATCGTTAGGGCAACACATTTTATTTTATAAAGTATAGTTAAAA